TCTTGTCTCTTAGTATCTTACCCCAAGTGTACTTGCTCTAGTTAGCCCTGATATTTTTCTTTTTCTTTACTTCAAATTCCCCTTTTTCTTCTGATCTTTCCTTAACTGAGCATTCTGCAAAACTCACATATCTTAAGGTATTATTTATTGAGTGATTTTTAAAATTAATTTTTATTAAAAAGATCATATACAAAGGTCAAAAGAACACAATGCCAAATCCTTACTTACCTCTCAGTTAGTTTCCCACCTCAGACCTGATATTATTACATAAAATTTCAGATCTGCATTGTTTACACATGTGAGCCAGTCTGTCATCTTCTAGAGCTTATGACAGAATTTCTAACTCATTGTTTCCTGCTCAAAAGTTATTATTTTTTTAACAAATATCTTTTCAAGTGTTCGTTTCTCATTTCCTCAGACTTTCCTACCCTTCTTCCTCTTTTCCTCTTCTTCTTACTTTGCCTCCTTCTTTCCATGTTTAAAAGGAGACCCAACTCTAATTTTCCCAATCATAGCTGTTCCTCTTTCCATTTTTCAACCACTGAGAATTTATATGGTAGAGTTTAATCAATTATAGTCTCTTTATGAGTTTGGAGTAAAGAGCTTTTAAAAAGCTTCATAACTGGGCATGATGGCACCTATGATCCTAGCACTCCAGAGTCTGAGGCAGGAGGATCACTGAAAGTTTGAGGTCAGCCTGGGCTACTCATTGTGTTCAAGGGCGGCCTGAACTGAACTACATAGTAAGACTGTCTTAAAAAAAAAGTCTTACAATCCCCAGTTCTATTTCAGTTAACAAAAATTGGCTTCACTAGTGATACATAGCATGAAAATATAATTAACAAACACTCATTTACAGTGATAACCAAAATTAATTATCGAGTAGTATTTTAACTATATGTACTTGAAAACCCTAGAGATATTGAAGACTTGTTTTTATTACACTGATAAACACTGACTGTCAGTGGCCTTGGCCACGTGCATTGTTTCCCTTAAAGCAAGCTAGGACTATTTTGAAACTGGTTATGTGTGAGTAAAGCAAAGAGAGAGAACAAACAATACTTTGGAGTTTGGATTACATACTTGGTGGCACAGCTCTTTCTACAAAACGGTATAATCATAGTGTCAGTATCAAATTCTCAGGAACATAGCTCAGCCTGGCAAGTGTCGGGTCCTGAGTTTGATTCCCAGGATCAAAAAACCCAAACCGAAGCAAACAAAACAAAAAAACCCCAATTTGTCATAGTCTTTACTTGTTTATATTTTGATAACCACATGGTGAAAATGGAATTTGAAAACTTATAACACTAGAAAAATAACTTTGACTAATTAACAACACCGATTTTGTACTCTCGAAAAGCCTACTGTGTTCCCAAGTACTGCAAAATTATTTCACCCCTAGGTGAAGTTGTGAGGAGTACATGCTACTTTTCAGCTCATTGCTCTGCCTACATCATGACATTGAACTCCACACTGCTAAAGAACTGTGGCTATTCTAGTACTTTTAGCCTTGTGAGAGGATTTGTAATGGACCCACACTGTATTTTCCTGTCTAGATGAAAGACTGAAATCTTTGAAAGCAAGGGCTTGTTGCTTTCATCTTTATACTGCAAGACCTTGCAATACGAGGCCAACAGTCATTGAGTGCTCAGTAACATTTTGTAAAGGGAGTAAATACATGAACCCTTCAGATAGAATCAGTAGCACAGCTTCTTGGAGTTGAGGTTTATTTACGAAGATAGCATTTAATTCTTTTTTTGTTTTTACTTTTAGTGATTCTTCAAAGTATTTTTCCTTTTCTCATATGGTGATTTTCCTACTCATACCCTACTCCAGTATTAGTATTCTGTTATGATACTTTTTATTATGATACTAACAATCTCTCTTAATACTCCTAAAATTGCGTATTCTCATGTTGATGCTTAAGTGGGTTTCAACTTAAGATTTTACACTTAAGAGTTGAGTATTTATGTCTACATACTACTCATGAGAAAGACAATAGAACTGTTTTCCCTCAAAAGTTAAATGAGCTATGTCCTGGGATGGTGGTTTCAACTGGAAGTGGCACCACTGGAGTTTTAAATGCTCTGTCTATGGACTTGCGAGACACGTATTTAGAAAAATTGCATGTAAAATGATATTACTCTAGTAAATCATACACTTGTGTATGTGCATGTGGGGGCAGAATAGTGATGTAGCTTGGGATAGATAATGCTAACTATAGGCATTCAATCCACATTTAAATGTTTAGAATTTTCAGTAGCCTGTGAATACAAGACAATTTATTACATTACGGTAGACTTAGACATTTGACATGTAGCTGATATTTTCATAGTGTGAGAAATATCAAGCTGACATTATGCTGTCTCTGTGATGATTACTTCTAAATGTCAGAGTGCAGAAACTTATTCATGGGACTTCAGTGCCTTAGGATAGTGTCAATTTAGAAGACATTCACATCAACTTTTTTATTTAAACATGTTAAATGAAGTATGAAAAGCAGGTTAAGAAATAACAGGGAAAGGAAGAGCAAAGAAAAAGCCTATTGAATAGAAAAATTTAAATACAGTAATAGATTATGATACCCTTACATCAATTTCCATGGACCCCTTGCTGACAGCAGGCTCCAGTGACTGCCTCCTAAAACTTCTGACAGCTGTAATCATGGTATGCATATTATTTCACTCACAGCACTTATATCGAATTTAGAAAATTAGAACTAGGATAAAAATATTCAATTATTTTGTACACCATCTTTAATAAGTCAAATAACTAAATTAATACTTTCCTACCATTTTGAATAGTCACATTGGTCTTTAAACCAAAATTAGGTAACCTAGAGATATTTTAAATAAAAAATTATTTTGTTCACTAATCTCTTTAGCAGTTGATTATGAACCTACTGAACTGTTTGAACTGTTGATATTTTGGAAATAATTCAAAGGAGTAGTTTTTCTTTCTTTTAAAACAAATTGGCCACATTAGAGATGATTATGAGTTTAAATAAACCTTTGTCTTTCCAATTATATGCACAGCAGGCCTCTTAATTGCGTGGGGTCACTCAGTTCCATCCTCTGAGAAACACTTCCTCTGCAGTCTATCTTGCTGTATTTCCTTTCTGATCGTGGAAGCCAATACCTCACTTTTTCAAACCCCCACCCTCCTTTTTAAAGCCACAGTGGGAATGATGATGATGGCAGTATGAACTCTCTGTCTTAAAATCAGACAAGTTTATTTCGGTATCTGCAGGCCAGTGACAGAAATCACTCTGTAGCCACCTACCTTCTGCTTTTTCTCATAAAGTGGTATTTTGGACACATAAAACAAAAGTTGTGGGACCTTCCTGAGTAATATAGGCTGCTTTTTGGGTTGCAAAATTTTAAATTGTTACTTGAAAAACAAAAAGGCAAATCCAAAACGCTGAAAGACAGACCTACTACAGAGAATTATCTTGTTCACTAAAATCAGAGTTGAAACAGAATTAATTGCAAATTTTGCTACTTTATTGACATTGCTCAAATTTTGAAGTTTATATATGTCACTGATTAGCATGGGTCCTCATTTTAGTGATAATGGAAATTAAAACAAAAGCCCTGATTGTAGGAAAAAGCTTTAATTGAGAGTCAAAAGAAGCAAGGAAAGAACTCCAGGGATAGTAGTGGGACAGGGCATACTCTGATAAACAGGATCAGACTGGCCCATTTGTGTGTCAAAGAAACAGTTTTATCTGGTGCTTGCAGCGAGCTTGAGATAGATTGGGTAATATCTTAGCTCTGGTTTCATAGGTTGAAGCTTTGTAATTTCAAGGGTAGTCTGATTCCCAAGGGAGGAGTTTTCACGACCTGAAAGGTTATTACAGTCATGTGAGGCTCTGCTGGAATACAGAGTGACCTTGTGTTTAGGGCAAGGAGACTTCTGAGCCTAACTGTTCTCAGTCTTAGAAGGTGACAGGAGGTTAGATAGGGCCATTACACATGACTAACATGACTATATGCAGAGCTGAGAAGGATTCGACCCAGAGTTTCACAAAATGAAGGTCAAGCTTTGTTCTTTTAATTAACTGTGGGATATTTGTAAGCCTAACTGAGGAATATGGACTCAACAAAAGCCTCTTTTAAGTCCCTAATTGCCTCAGGAAAAAACACAAATCATGCTTTTGATGTGCAGCAGGTGAAGGGCCCAGGAGTTAAGTTTTGTTCTTTGTTCCTGTAGTGGTTTCTGACTATGTCATGACTATGTCACCTGTAGAATTCAAGGATGACTATTTCATCATTAAGTTTCAGGAGTCACAGTTGTGTAGGAGGCCTCAGAATCCACACCTTGTCCAGGGTGCCTGAGCCAGTGCAGCTTAGGGAAGTTGCTACCAGCCTGGGGCTCCTTCCAAGACTCCCAAACCTGGTCACTAAGCTCCACGAGGTGAAGATTTTTGCCTGTTTTGTTCACTGCGGTGTCTTCCTCATGGGGGAGCCAAAGATTCTTGGTCTCCTGGTCTCCTTATTTTTTTCTTCCTGATTTCCAAGTTTGTTTAGCCCCCTAACCACTAGCAACCCAGTAGTCCAAGGCTAAGTATGCACAAGGACTGGCGAGTTCAGAGCCTGGGGTTAAAGTCGCGGGACTTGGGGCTTTGCGGGAAGGCGATCCTCAGCCTATGAAAGCAGAAGGTGGGCAGGGCAACCGTGGGGGGCGGAAGAGTCCCGCGTGAAGGCCTTTAACCTTCCATGAGTCCTGAAGGAAGAGGTTAAGTCCCGCTGGGAGTCAAGCAGCAGGCGCTGCCAGGCAGAACTCCACCGCCCCTCCCGCCCAGCTGCGCGAGCGCGGGCGCCCCCTGGTGGCCGCGGGGCCGCACTGCCCCGAGCCGCAGAGGTGGCGGCGGAAGCGGAGGCGCCGAGCCCGCGGGGCCGTGCGGACATGGCGGAGCCCGTACAGGAGGAGCTCTCGGCTCTGGCCGCGATTTTCTGCGGGCCCCGCGAGTGGGAGGTGCTGAGCCGCTCAGGTGACTGACCCCGCGGCGGAGGGACGTGTGCCCTGCGGCCGTCCGCAGGCCGTGAGCCTCCGAGGTTCCTCCGCGGCGCCCCGATGCGCACGACGGGGCTGGGCCCGCGGCGGGAGCCCGGGTGGCCCTGCGGGGTGCGGCGTGTCGGGGCAGGCAGGGGTGCGAGGAGACCCCTAAAACGGCACCCGAGTGGCGCGGGGCGCCCTGCTCCACCTGGCCCGCACCGGCCGCGTCCTCGCCCGGAGCCGCTGGCTCTCCTGGGGCCGCCCGGCCTTCCCGACCTCTGCTCTGAGCGCCCTTGCCGAGCCCCGCCCCCGACTTGCTCCCTGCCCTTCCCGAGCTCCGCGCTGAAGTCCCTGGACACGCTCACCGGGGCTAGCCCTGCCTGGCGTCTGCCTGCCTTCCGTCTCACCGGGGCAGGGACCCTGTCTGCGCTTTGCAGGCTCCTGGGCCCCGCACGTGGTAGGAAATGTTCAGCCCTAACCATATCTCAGTTACACTTCCAAACTGACCGCCTTTCTCATCCTTTTATTTGGGTACTGAAAGGTGGTTGTGGATTGCAGGTTTGAGGAGTGCGTTGATCATTTATCCCTCATGTGCTGATTCCCTGTTATCTGGAAGCTTCCACAGGGCCCTGTTTTCTTTGGGAGCTCACAGTCTGGACAGCTGGCTTGCTACCAGCTTTCCTTCCTCCTTCCTTGATTCCTTCCCACCTTCCCTTGACTACTTTTTAGATAATATCTGAAACTGGTTCTGCCTTGGTTTCTATAAAAACAAAACTGCCATTTAGGAGAACGTGCAACAATGCAGAAAATTCTTAATTTGCACTTCTTTGAAATATATTTGGTACATTTTGGGGGCCAGAGGATTTACCCTAATATTACAGTGTAACTCCTAATGAAATTTGGGACTGTTACAGTGTAAGATGTGCTGGAAAGGTGGCAAAAGCCACCTAGGAGTAAGTAAGTTTACAGTCTTCATGTGGCGAGTTACTGGCTCACAGAATGGGAGTTGGCACCTTTCATTTATTCCTTTTTGCATTCACTACACACCTTCCTTAACGACTGTTCTGCCCTAAGCACTCTGAATCTGTTAGAGTACTGGGTTTGCTTTCTTTAGTGCCTAATCCTGTTTTGTACTTTTGGAAATAACTCCTTAAAATGCTTATGCAGGAACCCTTTTAGTGTGGTCTCGTCACCCTGATTGAGTAGTATTCCTGTTCTTTATTTCTCTTTTCTGTTTCGACTGCTGTCTTTGTTGGTAATTCTGTCTGAGGCAGCTATTTGAAGATCTCATTACTTTTCTTAAATTCTTTTATTATGGCTCAGTTGCAGGTATTTGGAAAAAATGAACTTGTGCTGTCCCGTCACACCTTAAAGAGATGGTAGTGGTCTGGGCTAAGAGTGCCTACTTAAGCATTAAAGACTGCTGGTGGATCAGAGAAAACCCAAAAGAAGGAAGGGCTGAAAGGAAGAGAGCAGTTTCTTAATATTGAGAACACTGTGGACCCTTTATCTGCTGTTAAATTGAGCATGACTTTCAAGCCATGCCTCCTAATTAATTTAATTCAATGTTCTGACATCAGTAAGTAATTGAATTATAAAAGAATTCAGTGTAACAACTTAGGACATTTTGTTGCTGAAAGGTTCATTGGAGAGGAGAACAGTTCAGTGATTGAAATAGGGATGTTTGATGCTCACAGCTGGGAATTAAGGGTTAGGTAAAGACTTCTGTATCAGGCCCCAGTGAACATGCAGCAGGCTGCTGGCTGCCACTGCCAGTGTTACTTCAGTCTGGACTCCAGGATATAGCACTGTGAAGCCCATTGGCTCCTTCTTGGCTTCCCCCAAATAAGCTCCTTGTTGCGGATGGAATCTGGACCACCACACAGGGCTTATGGTTCTGTTAAGAAGGCAGTCCAGGAGCACTTAGCTGCTAACCCTAGGGTCAGCTATTACATAAGACTCTAAGGTCGAAAAGGCTGAATAATATGATTTGGCTTAGTGGGACTGATTTATGCTAAGAAACTTAGGGGATTTATCTACATTTTGTCCTCTGCCATAGTTCTGGTAAGCTTGTGGTAAGAGGCTTCGAGTATAACAGTCTCTTAGGGGTAGTTTGAGAGCAGGCTGTGGCTAGACCAAATCAGAGATAGTCTGTTCATCTCCGTGTAGTATGTTCAGCCCAGATGCCAGGCTTAATGTGGTCTTGGTAAAACTTTGTATGTATCTTAACTTGCTAAGAGGTACTCTTCACTTTATTTTGCAGGGAAGGTAACTGATGCTTAGGCTGGATAAATAACTGCAAGGCTCCAACATGTATGGACCTTTACACTGCACCATGTTCTTTGTTGGTGATGGGCCTGCTGTATCCTGGAAACAGTTCACAGCAAAGAAACATTTGTCCAGAAAGAGCTCACTCACAAGCAGTCAGAGAACATGGATGAGACCCAGTCTGTATGCAGACCAATCCTGAAGGGGAATGTGCATTGTGTGTTGTGTGTGTGTGTACCAGTGAGGCAGGTGAAGTTGGTATTGTTATATATCTTTATTTTCTTGATGGTTGATAGCGATTATATTACTATAGGTGGTGCTCGGTATATGTAAAGAGTTGCATTTTTGGAAGTTATCTCAGATCAAAAAGGTGTAAAATGAGAGGCTTATCACAGCACTGTCACCTAGAGTGTTTGCATAGAGTGCATTTGTATATTTTATTGATGATAATGTTCAGATTGGATTGGACTCTTTTGCAAAATGAATCATGACTGTCACACATTGAGCCCTGTAAATATGCTCAGCTCTTCCCTGATGGTTGTCAGAACTGAGTGCATCTTTATAAATCTGATTCAGCCTGCAACACCACTTTTAAAGGGTGAAACAGCCACTTTTGTCTTTTTTTCTTTTTAGCTTTTTTTCTTTATTTTGTAACATATGTTTAAAAAATGTAAAAATCTAGCCGAAGCATAGAGCAAAGTTTTTGTGAATTCATGCTGTGACATACGACCTGGGAGTAAGAGAAAAAACCTTTGTGGTTTTCTTCAGTTTTATTAGGAGGAGCTCTAAAAATTGACAAGCCAACAAACAAAATATTCCCTAGTAAACAAGTGTAAGGAACTTAACATGTTAAGTTATACTTAGCTGTGTGTGATACGTAAATGGTTTCTTATTGGGCTCTAAATGAATCCTTAAAGAACTCATTCTCTTAAATGTTGTTCACTTTTTTCCAGTGTCTTCTGTGATTGGACCGTATTTCTCAACCTTTATTGTGCTTTGTAAACTAAGAAATAGAACCTATAGAAAGGGTGCAGTTCATTTTCTCCAGTTTGAATTTTTGTCATCTAGTGAATGTTTAGGAACATGCTTTCTTTCATGTGTTTGTAAGGAAAGATAAGGTTTGAAATATAATTTTTTTTTAGTTATGAAATGGATATTTTTATTATAAGACAGAGTGACATAAAAGACAAGTAGCAAATAAATATATTTGGGCAGGACCTGAAGGGCAGACCTGTGTTTTTGGTAAGGTCTTTAAGTGGATGAAAATACATAACCTTGGCAGGTAAGAAAAGTTTAATTTACCAGTGCAAGCATACATTCTGTAAAACATAGGTGTTTATTGAGAATGATGAATTTGTGTTCATAACAGTTTTGTGGGGCAAGGATAGAATGGAGATTAGCATTAGAGATGGAGCACAATGGTTTGTCTGTTAACCACTCTATTTCTAAGCTGTTAATAACTTTGAAGCAGTTAGGGACAACTTTGTTTTCTTTTTTATTGGAGGGAAAGAGAAAACAAGAAAGAAATTAGACTTACAGTGCATGTGACACAGAAAAAATTCTGGGGCAAAACAGAGCCGGCTTAATTGCTTGAATAAATTAAGGCAGATGAGAAATGAAAAGGGTAAGGTACATATTATAGAGTTTTAGGGAGAAAATGAGTTTTTAAAAGGTTGTGTAATTTTATCACCATATTAAATATCAGCAGACTGGAATGTTACTGGGCTTTTCATTTTCTTAGAGAGCATCATTTTGTATAGTTTAGCTACAGGCTGTATGTGTTGGCAGGGATTTGACAGGAAGACCAATTGGGAAAACTGTTAATCCTTTCCAATTCTTAAAAGAATCAGAGTAGTTTTTCTTCTGAATGTGTGTTATAAATAGTAGTTTCACACTCCTAAGTTGAAAGTCAGGGTTTTCCTCCATTGCACCCACATTCTCTTTGTTTACTAGGACCAGAAAACTACAAAGAGAGCTGTGAGAGTTGGTAAGGATCTTATGGCTGGGCCCTGCCTCTTTCGGCTTTTAGAACCATAATTCCTGTTTTCCTTGGCTCGCAGCCCTTCCTTCAACTCCAAATCCTTCTGCGTAGCATCTTGTGTCTGCGCCTGCCTGACTTCCTTTGGCGGTAAAATCTCCTCTGCCACTCTGTTAAAAGGACACTTGTAATTACATTTAAAGTCACCTGGACAATTCAGAGTGATTTTGTCATCTTAAAATCCTTAATATAATCATGTTTACAGAGGTGTTTTGCCATGTAAGCGGACATACTGACAAGTTCCGGGGAAAGGGATGTACACATTTTTGTGTCTGGTAATCAGCTTACCAGACCAGTTCCAAGGACTTCTGAACTTGTGAGCATGATTACAAGCTACTAGCTTAATTGTATAAACTGTACAAGATTTGAGTTTCTTGTATCCCCTCTTTATTCTATTTTATATCTTGATGTACCGCCAAAGCCTCAGATGCGTAGAGAGGCCTTTTGGGAGGTGATGGAGTCATGGAAGCGGTACTCTTCACTGGATTGCTGCACTGATGTGTTTATGGCTGGCTATAATGTTGGGAGGTAAAGCCTGGTAGGAGGACTGGTCACTGGGACATGGCCTGAAAGTGTCCATCTCCTTCCCTCCTCCCTTATCTCTCTCTGCTTCCTGCTGCTCTGTCTTGAGCTGTTTCTCCCCGCCGTACTCATCTGCCATGCTGCCGTGTTGGACCCAGCTCACTATGCACTGAAACCTCAACAGACCGTGAGCCAGACTAACCTCTGCTGCTTTAACTTATGGGTGTTAAATATTGTGTCCCAGCAATGTGAAAGTAACGAAGACATTTTCCATGCTTCCTGTTTGGTTTTTAAAACAAAGTTGAGATATTTCAATGGTAGAGCAAATGTTGATTTAACCACACATTCAGGGTCTGAAAATATGGTAACAAGTTCAAAATACCATGGACATTGTAAAATAAGTGCTAGAGAGGTGCTGTGGATATTGACACAGTGCTGGTAGATGGAAAGTTAAGGCCTTTTTAGACCATAGGAAAGCAAGAGGAAGACCTAGAAATGGGGTTGTATTCAGGATATAACATAAAGTGGATTACTTAAAGCTGGATGTGGTGGTGCATGCCTGTAACCCCAGCACACTAGGAGGCTCAGGCAGGAAGGTTGTAAAGAGGAGCCTAGTCTCAAAAAAGGGAAAGAAGGTAAGAAGAAAGGAAGGAGAGAAAGAGACAGAGAGAAAGGAAGAGGAGGAGAAAGGAAAGGAAGGAAGGAAGGAAGGGAAGGTTAGTGACACAGGTTAGTACAAAGGCCCTGGTTCAATCCTGAGTGCTTGGGTCAGAGGAAGCGCTGGAGAGGAAGTTGGTGACTGAGGTTGAGATGGTAGGCTGGCTTTGTGTAAGAGTTTGAAAGAGGCTGGCAGTACAAAGGACACTACTACAGAAGTGAGAAATCTGAATTAGGGGGCAATAGTGTGAATGGAAAAAAGTTCCATAGAATTCTTGTCAGAGTTTTATCACTGAATGTTAAGTATAAAGCAAAGAGGGAAAAAGAAAGAGCTAAAGTTGGTCTTAAGATTTCAAGTCTGGGTACCTGGAGCAAAATGGTGGTTCATAGCATTGTGCTCTTGCAGAATGCCTGTGCATTTAGTGATTTAGGAAAAGAAGACAAAGTAGTGAAGGGAGGGGCAGAGATACAGGCAAAGTACTAAGAGAAGAGAGATTTTTAGGAGATTGGTTTAAGAGGTTCAGATGTTGTAGAAGCATAGGTCACAGCAAAGGTCATTGATTGTGGCTGTGTCAAGGTCACCAAAATACCCTTAGACTCAGAAAAACTGTTGCACTCCGGGTTTCATTTTGGTCTGGTGAAATGATAGGGACTAAAATCAGGAAAGAAAAGGCTCAATTATGGGAGTGAAGTCCATGAGAAACCAGGAGCAGCCATCCAAGTATCCTCTTCCAGTGGAGTCATGCAGACATGATGAATTCTCAAAGCAATAATGGGTGACAGTATGTGAGAAATGTTCCCAGCAAGTGTGCTAACTTAAGCCTTGATGCCCGTATTTTTTTTATTGGGGCTCAGCCATGTGGGCTGAATGCAGCACTTGCATGACTGACTCCAGCTACTTAGAGTTCAGCCTCTAACATTAGAAAGAGTCACCATAAATTGCATAGTTGGCATAAACTATTTAATCAAACTGGGATTGTGTGACCCAAGGCTGGGGGCCTGCAAAAAACGCTCTTAGCAGGCAGAAATTAGAAGGATTCAGAGCTCATCTCTATGGAGCTAGCAATGGGTCAGTCTGAAAGACAGGTCCTTCTTGAAAATGTGCAGGGTTTCAGCAACCTAGGCCTGCTGGGAGGAAAGTGTTACCACTTTCCTGCAAGCAGCAATTAGGAGGTCTTTGGGAACATTTGAGAATGAAGCTTTAGAAACAAGTGATGTTAGAAGCCACAATGCAAGAAGCTGTGGAGAGACTGGCTTATGGGAAAATAGATGCAGATGTTGAAAATTATATTTTACAAAGATTGAGGATGAAGGGATAGAAAGATAGTCTTATGGCTTAGTGAAATTAGTTGCTTTGGATTTTTTTTCTTGAAGCAGGAAACAGTGACAGGGTTGGAAAATACAGGCACAAGAGGTGACAGGTGTAGCAGTGCCTTAGACAGTAGGGTTTCCTGTGGTAGAGAGAAGGACACAGAAAGTAGAGAGGAGGAGAGAGGAACGTGGTAAAAAAAAAAATGTGTGTTGTTAAGTGGTTAGGCAGTTCCTAAGCACAGTCCTTGGGTCGCCATGCAGTTCCATAGATTCAGCCTGAAGGAGATAAGAACCATGTAGAGTCAGACAGCCTGGCTCACTGCACAGCAGGTGGCATGAGCATTGTGATCCCACTGGTTTTCTTTGTCCCCTGTTCCGTGGGTAGTAGGGAGATAGGGCCAACTGGGCACGTGCACACAGTGGAGCTTTGTCGCAGCTGGGCAGCACTGAATTTAGGAGCCCTTTAATCTGTTCACCCTGACTTAAACATTTCATAATATTGTGTACATGTATCAGAATATCATAGTATCCCATATGTATCAATTAGAAGTAAATTTAAATTAAATGGAAGGAAATCCTCCACTCTTATAAAGGAGTTATTGGCAATTCTAGGCAACCTCTTTCCTGAAGAAATGTGTTCTTTTGTTAAGGTGGTCTGGAAAAATATCTGCCTTGTGAGCCAGGGAGAGAAACCCTCTAATCTCCAAAGTTGTCTGTTATATGAAGGTGTACAACAAAACTCTCAAGGCCTTGTTCAGAAGACCTTCAGCGATGCCACAATATGGAGAATTATCTCCCAAGACACGCACACATCATTTATGTGAATTATATGTATTTGTATATATTTATACTTCTAAATAGACATTTTTAGGTATAGAAGATATGTCCAGGAAGATGACTTTGCATGTATCTGTGCTATCCTGCTTGAAGCACTGGATTGCATTAATGTGATAGGGTCCATATCTTAACCATCGATTCTCCTAGGAGACAGGTATACATGTGTACAGGTGTCGTACTTGGGCCATGGCAGGCATTCAGTGCATACATGTTAAATAGTGTATGATTGAACAGTGTGGTTGTTGAATGAGAAATGAATGAAAAAATGTTTGAAAGTTGTACTTCTTTGAGTGAATGCGGATCCTCTCAATGAAAACTGAAGAGTTGATTCAGCCTAATGTTCATATGTTATTTGCAGGTCCATTGATAATACTCATTTCACATAGAAAAATGTATTAATCTAACTGACATATAAGGAGTCTACCTTAACAATAAAGTATATTCTTAAAAAGATAATGAAAGAGGATGGTTTTAAAAAATGTGATAGACTTTAGAGGAATATACCTTTTTAGGTTTGGAAAATCTGTATATAGTACACATTTTACTTAGGTAATACAAATTTAAATTATAAGTAATGTTTTTAGGATGGTTGTTGCCTGTGATTCTGGGTTGGGTCCTAGAATAGTAACTCCTTACTGAAGGTACTGGCGTCTAAAGAAAATCTCTGTAACTGATGTCCTTGGTCTTGTATGAGTCAGTATCTGTAACAACGGTTTTTATATACATAGAGTCAGATGGCTAGGAAGCGATTTTAATATTCTGTTGGGTTCTTTAAAGTGGGGATGCATTCAGGTTTCAGTTGTTGAGGCTGTTAAGCAGCAGTCCAGGTATGAAAATGAGAAGGCTTTGACTGCTTCCCTTGTAAAGCAGGATAGAACAAGGGCATATGGCCGAAGAAGTAGGCAGAGAGGCCAGTGCACCTCAAAGAGATTCATTTGCACTCAGTTCTGTTCTCTGCTCTTCTGATCTGTGTGCTTCTGCTCGCTGCAGAATGAATCAGCCTGATGTTTTATCAACTTGTTGAAAAGTGGGGTGAAGTGGTGTGGAACACATCAGAGGGGTGAAGCCAAGCAAATCTGAAAGAGGGCAGAGTATTTCATCTCGTGTCCTGTGAGCCTCCCGCCCCTTTTCCTGGAGCCAGGAGAGGCTGAACTGATGTCCACTCAATTTCAATTCACCTTGCTACTTCCCATTACACCGACAGTGGTACATTTAAAGTAAGAGAGAGCAAGTCCAGGCAGTTCCAGTGTCACACACAGTCACCAGTTTCTCTACCACCCTGCAGCCCCAGATGCAAGTGTGGCTTACCACACGGGGACCTTCAGAACCTAATACATAACTTTTTAGTTACTGATTTTCCATACACATGTGGTAGTGTCCCTTGAAAGTTCCTAAGAGTTATGAGTGATTTCCAGTTTCTCAACTAAGTGTGGCTAGAAAAAAGTGTAATGAAAATCATTTTTGGTGACTTAATAAAATTAGGTGATTGTAAGTGTAAATGCCAGGTCAGTCTTGAGTGTGGATTATTTCCTCCCACCACACACACGCATTGAGTGGCCTTAGTATTGCTTGGCTCTTCATATAATAACAGTTTTCCATGAGAAATAAATTGACATTTGAAAGAAAATTTCTAACTTATTAGTATTCCACTCAAATTGAATTATGTGCAGCTAATGATTATTTTTGGATGCCTTTCAGAGAAAGATGGGACCGTGTTCAGAATTCACACAAAAGCTGAAGGCCTTATGAATGTGGATGTACCCTTGGAGTTGGTGTTCCATTTACCGGTCAATTACCCTTTGTGTCTGCCTGGTATCTCAGTTAACTCGGAGCATTTGACCAGAGGCCAGTGTATGACTGTGAAAGAGAAGTTACTTAAGGAAGCGGAGAAGCTTTTACTGGAGCCCATGATTCACGAGCTGGTTCTCTGGATCCAGCAAAATCTCAGGCATGTCCTCAACCAACCAGAGACCGGGAGTGGCTGTGAGAAGTGTACTTTTTCAATAAGCACGGCTGTGGACGATGGATTGTGGCTAACTCTTTTGCATTTAGATCACATGAGAGCAAGGACAAAATACATCAGAACTGTGGAGAAATGGACTTCAGATTTAAGGCTTACAGGAAGACTGATGTTCCTGGGTAAAATAATACTGATTTTACTACAAGGAGACAGAGACAGCATCAAGGTGCCAAGTTAAATGTTCATTGTGAATCTGATTATTTTATGCTTAACAAAGTGTGTCTTTAAGTGTGTTTATGACAATGGGATTGATTAATCATTAAGATGTTTCTGCTTTCCCGATTACCATATTAATGGATTTTCATTTTCTTTTCCAAGAAGGACTAATTTCTAATTGCAGCTATAAGCTTGCAATGCTCAAGGATAGGTATATTTTAAAAATCATGCCACTTAATGAAAGTGATAGGTTATTAAAAAGAAAAATACGTGTTTTTTTTTTTTTTTTGTAAAAAGGTGTTTTTGTAATTATCGATGAAGCTCAGCTTTGTAAATGTGCACTAAATGTTTGTGCATATTAATTTCTTTCCATGATTAGGCATAGCACAGTGTGTATTTTTAGGAAGTCTAAAATTTGTAACTTACTGATAGTTAAAAGTACATTCTGACACTTTTAATTTTGTACCTGTAATACCTGGTAAGAGAAGCTCATCCGTTATAACTGAGATTTCGTGTTAGAGATGCAGAATCATTGGAACTGTCGGCCTGTCACCTCCAGCTAACTTCCGCTTTCCACCTGACTGGTCTCAGCAGCTGCTTTCAAAACCATCATCTGCTTTAGATTTTTCACATACTTACTCCAAACGCTTCTAACCTGTCCTATATGCCACCAGACAAGGAACACTGCTTATTATATTTTAAATCTTAAAAGAGTTACAGATCACTTCAGTTTTATAATTGCTGATAGGTGGGGTCAGGAATCATTACAGTAGAATTTATTTAAAATAGATTCAGTGTGAGCAGTCTATAATCTTAGAGACTTGTAGAATAATGACCTGTGTTTTTCAAGATGAGTTCTTACTACAGCATTCCTTTGGCATTTGGTTAACCAGATTCATGCTGGGCTAAGTAGATAGATAAAATAATATTTCAAATTAAATATATATTCTGGATTGGGGCCTGATCAAGGAACTACATAGTTTAAGGCAATTTGTAGTATATCTATAAACTTTGATTTGAGTAAAATACTAGCTGACAAAAATGAGACAAATTAATTTTCTTGCTCATATTTACCTTAAAGGCTCAAATTTTTCTTTCAGCCAGCTCAGGCATATTAGGATAAATGCAGCTGTTTTGTAAATATTGTTACTCAGATTGAATCATCAATTACTTAACAAGCACTTTCACATATTACTAGAACTCTGCTAATGCAGAGAAATGATACATTTCTAAGAATTTTTAAAAGCTATCTTTAAAATGTCATATGAATTTCTCTGTTAAATTTTTATAAGATTGTCTACTAGGATGGAGAATGTGCAGATGAGTTTGTAGATGCCGCCAGCTTGGGATGGTGAGTGCTGTACCTGCTGACTCCTCACAGTTGCTGGGTTAGCAGAAGTAGCAGCAGCACCTTGTGCTTGTCACTGAGCGATAGCATTACATGTCAGGTGCTCCTGTATGTGCTTGGCATGTATTATTTCATTCAATCATCACAGCTTCTCCTAGAGTAGGATCTGGTTATGAGTACTATTTTGCAGAGGAAGTTAATTCAGGCACAGAGGATTTAAATAACCAGCCCAGAATCAGAGATAGTAGGCCAGTCTAGATTTAAACTAGTTTGATTATATTGCTTTTTATTCCTGTATTTACCAGGACGTTATTCTGCTATATATGTAAAACCACTGTATAACTCTGTTACTGAATGGTTCAGAAAGAGAGTGCTTTTTTAGCATGAAAATAAACCTTCAAGTTTATGGCTCTTTTAAACTGAGACTTAGAAATTCAGAGTAAGATATGTACTTAATACCTAATTTGTCATTTAGGAATACCTGATTCTTCAGAAAACCTCCAAAGTAGACGTGGACTCAAATGGAAAGAAATGCAAAGAGAAAATGATTAGTGTACTGTTTGAGACAAAAGTACAGACGGAACACAAAAGGTATAATTTAGTACTATTGCAGATGGAAAAGCAACTGAATTGATAATTATACTCTGACAAATCCAGGCATATTCATGAGTTTCTCTTGTATAATGCAGGTTTCTGGCATTTGAAGTCAAAGAGTATTCAACATTGGATGAGTTACAAAAGGAATTTGAAACTGCAGGACTTAAGAAGCTTTTCTCCGAATTTGTTCTTGGGTTGGTAAAATGACAAGAATCTTTTGGTAAAACAGCAGTGTGTTTTGTTGTTTTTGCATTAGATTTTGGGAGGAGGGTAATCAAAATAGTCATAAGGGAGCAATTTAAAAGTTTCCCTGTAGCAAAATCACTGTAATTTCAGGAAAAATGCCTTCCATTTTATGGAGTATTAAACATGTGAAGAACCCATATATTCTAATGTTTGCTAGGAAAGACCAAGTTCAATAGATGGCACATTATTTGGACCACGGATTTAAAGAAACATGTTGCCAAATGAGGGCTTGTTTTTATATAGACTGTTTGTTTGGAACAGTGCAGTTGTCTGGCTGAGTTTTTTTGTAATTAAATGATTTTTTAAAAAAAAGAAATTTGTTTCCATATTTACTTTTTTCCACAGTTACATGTTAAGCATTTAATCATGAGTTTTCCCCATTCAGCTTATTGTGCCTAATGTTTTAAGTTGATTGTTGAGAAAACTGTAACACTGATTTCTTTGTGGAATTACATAAATCACTAGTTTAAATACAAACCAAAGTTCTATATATCCTGATACATAATTGCTTTATTTGAATTTCCATATATTTGATAGCTAAAGGACTAGAAAATCTATTTAAATTGAACTTCTTATTTGAAAAGTCTAATTTCTGGTCTTATAAGGGGAGAAAAGTCACACAAAATGGGTTTGGCTTGATAGAAGTTAGAGACACTGCTTTTTATTATGAAATCTTTCAGATGATGATAAAATATATTATGAGCTGAGTGGAGATGGTGGCAAACGCCTGTAATCGCAGCACTTGAGAGGCTGAGACAGGAGAATAGCTGGGAATTTGAGGCCAGTCTACAGAGGCCTCAGTTTGAGGCCTGAACTACAGAGCAAGAGCCTGTCTCAACAAAATGAAACAAAAACAAAAACAAACAAACAAACAAACTCAAAAAACATGAAGCCAGTTGTGACCGAGAAAGGATATTTTTGTGCATGAAGCTACCTGGGCTTCTGAAATCGGAGTTGGAGTCATGGAAGAAAGGTCAAGTGGGTCCTCTCTCACTGTCACCTTTAATGTACACTGATGCCATTTTAAAGTTATAACTCGTGCAAGAAGAGTGAGGAGAACATTATGGCGTGCTGAATCGTATTTTTTGACATTGCTGTTTTGTAACCATGATGGTTCAGTCTGACTATCTTATTTGTAGACACCTTAGTTAATTAAATTATGGCTACCTGTTTGTCATTTTATGGAGTTGTATTAATGAGGGGAGATTTTAAGTTTATTTCATCTCATTCTAGGGTGTTGGTGATTTTTTTTCCTGGAGAACTAGCAAATGTTAGATTACATATGAGAGAGTACACAGGGCAAGGTAAGGAACCCTAATTAAATGCATAAGTGAGGAAATAGGATATAAATTTTGGGCTGGTTATTATTACCCTTTTATTTGATTTACTGTAATTTTAGGGAAATTTAAAATAAACATAATTGGATGCGAATATTGACTTGACTTCAAGGATCTTAATAATACTAAACATTATCACTATCAGTCCTATAATAGTAGCAATAGTAAAAGGTTAGGTTTGAATTGTATTACAACAGAATGTCTGGTCCTTTGTTTTACTTTGACTCTTTCTGTTACTAGGCATTCCTGCTCCATGCATTCTGATACTGACTTTCAGGTTTAACTACCTCGGAGAAAGAGTTTGGTTCAAATCAAATAGAATATTAATAATGAACTTTTCCAATCTGATTGTATTTTTGTTTGCTAAAATTAGGCAATGAGGTAAAAAAAAAGTATTGGCTTTTATTACTTTCTTTGATGTTTATATCTCAATCTTTCACAAATCAGAATGGAAAACCAAACCTTGTCAGGATTTGTGTTTATATAAATTTAATTTGAGCTTTAGGTGGAATGAAAATGTAAAATTATATACCAGAAAAGCTATGAGAATCTCTTGGTATTTCTTTAGTTTCAGGAGTAGAGAAAAAGAATCTTCATTTGTTCCCATTATTATTTTTGTGTTAAAGTTTTCTGCTGTCCTTTTTACTTATGGTGATGATGAAAAGGTAACTAAGATTTTAGCTTCTGTCAGAGAAGACCAGTTTCTCATTGAAGAAAATGCAGAACAAAATACTCATACTCTTAAAAGTATCAAAGTCAAGAAGATAGAATTGCTGGGCCTCATCTGGAAGGAGAGAGGAATCTCTAGAGAAGTAAAACTCAGCACTTCTCCATACTTTCCCCTAGCATGCATGAGACACCTGGAAGACTTAGCTGAAGGCTGTTAATTTTTGTCAGCATGACCTCCTAGGAGTAGAAATTCGGGGCACGGAGGAAAGCAGAGTTGGGAGATTGAGGACTGAGATTCCAGAAGGACTGTGTTGTAGGAGTAGGGGTAACCTATGAATAAAGCAGTTGTCCTTGAATATAGCAAAGCTTTGACGATTTTGGGTAGGTACAGAAAAAAGACCTAGGGTTAAGGAGATTCATTATTCTAAAGCTCTCAGATCTTCAGATCTTTGGAGAAAGATCAGATCATCATAGGTCTCAAATTATCTGTGAATTATTTTAAAATTCAATGTCCTAACGAACAACCAGAAGCTACTGAATTCGTGAAGAAACAAGACACCGAGTGACAACAGAAACACTGAACGGAAGAAATAGACCCACTGGGACTCCAGATGCTGACACTATCAGACATAGATCATGAAAGTTACACCTATTATGTTCAAGGAGATAAAACCCAAGCTTGGCTCTGGAATCAGAAACTATAAATGTGGCATGTCATATTTGAACAAAACCTAATAATGAAGCAAGTAGAAATCCTAAAACTAAAAAATACAGGAGTTCAAGGGATAGTTAATTAACTAAGATTCTAGTCCGGAAATCAGAAACCTATGTAGGTACTTCAGAGTAGATAAAAACAAGCATTGGTTACATATATGGAAGGCTAGAGGAGGGGAGAAAGAGGAGGGTGGTACATTCATCAGAGTCCAGAAACTGCAGCCTCCCCTTCCATTACTGGAGAGGGTGCAGCTCTGCTCCATCTGCTCCTGTGCTGTGTGGACTGGAGCTAAACTCTGTGATAGGTTCTGTCTCTGGTCTGCTCAAGTTTGCAATGACTCCACTCCAATTGTCACTGTGGCAGCTGCCAACAGCTACCATGGTGCTGGAATCTGGGCGTACTTTCCATCATCCAAAGTGTGTCTGGTTGACAAATTTCACAGGAATTGAGCTGGCAAAGAAGTCTGCCTGGGAAATGTAGTCTTCAGGAACCAACTTCAGGAAAACAGCACGGGTAGGAGGGTGGGGATTGTGTGTGAAGGGGCAGAAGAGGCGGACAGCCTCAGCAGGTAATCACTGCCACCCTTCTTTTTGCCTGTTAAGCACCTACATCTACCCTTCTGCACACACTTAAATTTCTGCACCACAGTAACGGTATTATGCAAATTTATCCTTCATACAAAGCAGTTTCACATTTTACCTTAAAAGCGGAGAAACAAAATTTTACCAGTTATCGTTATTCTTCTTACTATTTTAGTTTCTTCACGATGCCTCTTTGATATTCTGTAACCTGAAGATTAAACTGTAATATTCAGCCCTACCAGCAGTACTTAAAAATAATATAATAGACAAAAGGATGGAAAGTTACTGTGTACAGAAGTACACAAAAAACACTCAAATTCACAACATTATTTTGACAATTATTTTTATAACTGTTGGTCTTGAAACTGTAATTTGTATTTACAACTTTTATTTGATTTTTCTGTGTTTGTGGCCACCACATCAGCTCTCAGATTCTTTTCATAATATGGTTTCTGTATTCAGATCCTTCAGTCTGAGTCCTTAGCAGTTGTGTTGCTTAACTTAATACTATTAAATGTGAGTTTTAGGAGGCTCAGAGAGTTCCTGACATAGCAACCCAGTACCCCTGTAACTGTCTACAGGGAACCTTGTAGGGGTTACATCCCTATAGTGCTTGTTAATTGTGAAAAACCATGAATTTCAGGTATAGGCATTTCAGAAATGCCTATGCATACCTGTTTTTGTAGTCTAAATCCCTTAATATGCTATATCTCTGCAGTTAGGTAATTAACTTCAATAAAATACTGTAAACAGTGCTGTAATAATTTAATAAAAATACTATACAAAAATCAACCTTGTGGAGAATCTTAAACTTCTGCTAAAAGTTTGAACTTATACTTGCAAGAAGCTTTAAAAGATACAGTGCATTTTGACAGCATCTGAAGGATTCTAGAGCTTTAAGAGCACTCTAGATAGCCAAATGCAGTATGGAGATCTGTTAGGATGTAGGAGTGCTGATTTATCTGTGATGGGTTACAGGGCAGCAGCCGATCCGAAGCAAGAACTGAGTAACCCTCTTGGATTGGCTGCTTGTAAAGCTCCCATCAAAACAACTGCAGAGATTATCTGTGGTTTCCACAAAATTGCAGGGGTCTTTTGAACAGTTATTGGGTTCTAAAGAAAAATCGATCAATGATTAAGGTCACAAACGCTGAACTGTGACCTCACCGCAGGTATACTTTAGGCCAGTCACCCCAGTCCATACAGGAAACTCTGCTTAGTATCGTGAGTCCATGGTAGCTAGACATTCAGCTTGTCATCTGTTACAGTTGAACCATTGATGTTCTGTTCTTTTGAATCTACATAATCCAAGATTTTTGGGAAAAGAGTAAAAACTGATAAAGCAATTGTATAATACTGAGAGGAATGAGTTCTATTTTATTTAATTACTTTAAATTTTATTTAAAGAAAGACAAAACAGAAAATGGGTAGAAATAATACATACATTCAGAGAAAATATAAACAGTAAGAAATCACTAGTTCATGTTTACATACTGTCCTTTTACAAATAGTTGTTCAAAATACAAAAGTGGAACATATAAAGGGGGAATTTAAACAGCGGCGAGACTGCAACCAGTTCTGTTTAACTATCCAACAAAAACTTAGTAATATGGTTTTCAATCCTATACACTTAAGCATACAGTTATCCATATCTTCAATTATGTTGAGATTAAACAAACTAAAGCAGGCTAAAATCATTCTGAACAAAGAATAATAGTATTGCTGGATTTCACATCATGACACTCGGATCAGCACTGGGTACTGTAGTGTCTTTTTAAAAAAAATTTAAAGACTAATCAAAACAAAATGGGTAGAAATAATACATACTTTCAAAGAAAAAAACAGAAACCACTAGTTGATAATTTCAGATTGTCCTCTTACAAATAGTTGTTCAAGATACTAAAGTGGAGCATATAAAGTGGGGATTCAAACAGACTGCAGCCAGTTCTGTTCAATTATCCAGCAAAAACTTAGAAATATGGTTATCAATTCTATACGTTTAAACGTACATGCAATTATCCATATCTTCAATTATGTTGAGATTGAACAAACCCAAGCAGTCTAATATCTCTCTGAACAAAGAATACTTTAGTGTCTCTTTTTTCTTCAGAGTGTCTGTTCATTTCATCCTGTGTCATAAGATCAGTTCTCATAAACTTTATAGATTCTACACATGCATGAGTCTTAACATGTATTTCTATCCTTTCTATATTAGAGGGAGAAACAAACAGCAAGACAAAACATATTCCTATAAACACATGAAACAAAAAAGAGATAAGACCATTGTACAAGGAGTTCTACCATAGTTCCTGTGTTGTCTCTTGTTATCTTCAGTAAAATTGGCTATATTATCAGATATAGTATAATTGAATATATCAGTACATAACAGTATTAATAAGAACACAACTTTGTATATAGTATAAAACTTCAAAAACCGGCAGTTATCAAACCAGAATGTGTGTCGTAGAGTCTTGTCATCTTCAGTATAGTTGCCCATACTCTCAGACTTGATACTATCAGTCGTATCAGTTTTGAATAAAATCTGTTGATACCAAACAGCAATCAAACCAGATTTAACTAAGATCAGTCATGATAAAACAGTGTAAGTCATACAGGGCACCAGATTAAGATAATAGGAAATTAAAGATGATTACTGTGCTATATCCTGATGTTTTTGGAGTAGCCGTCTGTGCCCTCAAATCTAATGCAAGTAGACAAACTGGGACAGAATAAAATCTATCTAAGCAGAATGGTGCAAATAATGTGGGTTTTAAATCCTGATACACTATTAACATCTTCTGCCATCTTTTTAAAGACTACCTCCTCTTTCTCTTCCCCAGGGTACACTGTGCATTTTTGGGTCTCATCAAGACCCTTGGTTTTAAATTGGGGCGGGGTGGGGGGAGGGGAACCTGCTATTTACCTAAGTGGTTCCAAACCTTCTCTCTCCTGGACTTGATCTCTAATTGTATTCCTTTACCTATTAAAGCCTGTCTTTCCAACCTATCCACAAATACTGGTCTAGTTGCCCCTATTACTCTCTGATTCCCTGTCACATAAAGCATTGTTTTCTCTATACTCTTTTTCATGTTAATTATATTTCCTATAAATAGTATCTCGGTGGACCCT